TGGCTCTGCAGTAGTGTGTTGGGGCAGCGATGTTACAGACCATTAACAGCAACGTGCTGCTTGTGTGAGTTTCTGCAGGAGCAGCCTGGGTGTGGGACAGCTATAGAGTGCTTGGTCAGGTTAAAGAGCATAATGAAATTAAGGTTTACAGCAGGAAACATGTATTGTTAGCAGCCTAGCCACGTGCTTGCTCACCATCTCGTAGAGGCCCAGAGTGCCAGCAGGTGAATGTAACAACATGTTGATTCTTACAGTCCTAGATGAAGGAGTACCAGCTGCTCAGCAGAGCAGCAAAAGCATGGCAGGTTTGGTGTGTGCGTTTGGTTTTCTGATGATGTATCCAGGCGTTGAGAAAGCCATCAAACACACTTTGTGTTGTTGGAGATTGCTGGGAGCAGTCCTGAGCACAGCAGGAATATAATGAAGACCTTTCAGAAAGCCGTGTTCTTGGGCAGTGTTTCCAGTGGGCTGCGTCACCTGACTGGAGCTGTGACGTGCGTGGTCTGGAGGTGACGCAGAATTTGTGTTTGCTGGGACTGGAGCTTTCAGGGTAGTCTGCTCAGGGCTCACTGCTGGCACACTGCTGGGCGCAGGAGGGGGGCCTGGGGGAGCTGTAGGCACCATCACTGGTCAGCCTGCAGGGATGGACAAAGCCTTTTGTACAGTGTGCTGTGTGAGCAGTTTGTGGACTGCATGAAGGTCACAAGGAGTGCTGCATCTCTGGAAGCGGCGGGGCACAGAGGTGTGGGGGGTGCAGGCTGGGAGCCATCCGGCCTCGGAAGAACTGATAAATGTGGATACAATACCAAGTGAATGTTGCTGGCTGTAGGATTTATATTTTTGCTCCTGAGCACGAGGCCTGTTTCGAAGCATAAATAACTGCTATCTCTCCAGCGCGTGGACTCTGGCTCTGTGCTTGGCCCTGTGTCCCAGCCCCCGCTCCGCTCAGCAGGGTCAGGGAGAAGGGAGAAGGGGCGGTGTCTTTGGCTGACATGAGCCCGCTGGGGAGGGATGAGAGGAAGGGGGTCTTGGGGGCTGGGTTCAGAGCAAGGTTAGCCAAATATCGGATAAATTAAGCAAGAGAAACAGACAGCTCAGCTTGCAGTGAACTTTTCACCCAGCTAACCTGTTGCTCACCCTGCATTGCACAGGTGGAGTACAACTCAAGTAGAGCACAACCCTGGCTTTCCCTGCCTTCTCTTTTGCTGTAGCGTGAGGCATGGCCAAGGAAAGAGCAGGAACTGAAAGGAGTTTGATTTGTTGTTTTGAGTCCAGAAAAGATCTGATTGCTGTCTTAAGAGCACTGAAGTTAATGCTAATATGGCCATAGGGTTAGTGTTTGTTCCAGTGTAGAACCTCTACCAGTAATTCCTGGTCATAGAGAAGAAATGGGGAAGAAATTCCATGCTGGAGAGGGCAGGAAGCAAACAGTGCCTGAACAGGAATGGTTAGAGAGTCTTTGTGGGAAGATGCAGGGCTGGTGGGAATTCAGTGAATTCTGATGTTTATATTTCTCTGACTTTTCATCTGCATTTGCAGTGCAAGTAAATACAAATGATTGCTGACAGATGTTGTAAAAACATAGCATTATGCTAACCATTAAGCTTAATTTTGTTCTCAGTTACTAACGCATGTGGCATAGTATGGCCCTTACTCATATCACCTCTATATAAATCATGGACTTTCCTCCAGGGGTACGGAATCCAGAGCAGAATTTATTCTGTTGGCCTGTTTTGAAATCTTCACTGCTTCTTCTCCCAAGAACTCTCCAAGCACATTGAAGTTAGTGGGGTGGCAGCTTTGTTGGAAAGTAACATCCAGTAGAGTGCTTAAACCCTCAAATGTAGTTCTCTGGCTTCAGGTCAGTGTTTTGAAATTGGAACTCCTGTTCTCTGATCTTCATTTTCACTCACTGTAGGTGAGGAAGGCCTGAAACCCACTGAAGTGCCTATTGCACAGCGTTTCTGGGAGCTCAGCCCTTGATTTTTGTAAGCATGCCTAAATTCTATAAAACAGAGGTCTTTGCAAGAGGCTTTAAAGAGCCTTTTATCGGTAGTGAACTTTCAGATGGTAAATGCCAGGAGCTCTGTCTAAAATGGAAGGGACATCGTATAAACCTTGAGATAAGCACTGACTTCAGGGAGCTGTGAGCCTTCCTAGAGCTGTGAGTATTTTCTGCTCTGCTCAGCGCAGCAGGATGGCTTCCCTCCCCCTTTTTGGATCTGGGAAAGAGGTCAAGTTTTTCTTGCTCTTCATGTGCGTTTGAGTTCATGTACAGCTCCTCAGGCACTGCCAGCTTTACATTAGGAGATTGGCTGCAAAGCAGTACTGATAGTGTCTCCCTTGTATCTCAAATTCCTGGATGTTGAGGAAGGACTGAAGCTCAGACGGCCATTACCACACAGACCAGATGTTTCCCAGACCAGATGTTGGTCATTCAGGCCAGCCCAGCGTTGCCATAGGATGGTAGGGAGCTGGTGACATGCCTTGGTGCTTCCAGAGCAATGGGGGTTCACCCAGCGAGAGGGCAGGAATGGCAGTGCTGTGGTGCGGCCCACTGTTACAGTTAGAGCTCACTAACTCCTCTCCTGCCAGGGAACAGGGATGTCATTCTGCTTTCTTAAAGTTCCAGTGTTTTTTCTGATAGGTGAGAATAGAATGTAGAACGGGTGCACGAGCTTGGTATTCCTATTGACAGAAAGGGGCTGTAGGTCTCTTCTGTAGATGGGGAAGAGTAGGGGTGTGTTAGAAGAAGGGGTGGAGAAAAAGAGTATGAACTGCAGTGTAGTTTCTGGGCTTGCCTGTTGCATCAGCCTGTTGCTGATGCCACTGGTTACTTCGCAGGTTTTCTCCTCATGCAGTTGTTTCAAAAGTAAAAGTAGCAGTCGAAATCTGCACAAGGCAGCACTGCTCTCTGCTGCCCCATCCCCTGCAATGACAGAAGCAGTTCTGTACATTTGGTGAACCCGGAGAATGGATTGTGTTTAAAGTCATGTTTTTGTTTGCTTGTTTGGGGCCTTGGTTTGTTGTTCTGGTTTTGTTTTGTTCCCTCGGGATGGCTCTGGCTGACTAATTTTACAGCCTGTTGTTTTTCAAATGCAGATGTCACCACTGGAGAGAGAATGGGGCAAGGACAAGTTCAGCGGTCACCAGATAAGGAGGACCATTCTTTTTCCATCAGTTTGAAGAGATTTGGCAGAGCTTTAAGTAACACCATAATTTTCCTAAAGCTTGTTCAACCTGCCTGCGAACGTGTGTGTTCTCCACAAAAGTTTCTCCCTTTTAGACACGTTTGCAGCACTTCTCAGACCACTTTGTTCTTTCACCTTGCGGCTCGAAACCTTTGTTTCAGGGCACGCTTGTTTCTTCTACTGTATTTTTACTGCCCCTTGAGTGACATCATTCAAGTGGTGAGTCTCTGAGAGATGATTCATACTGAAAAAGATCTAATAATTGTTACCAGTTATTCAAATCAGTGTTACTGATTTCCCGCATCCTCCCACTGGTCCCTTGAGCTCCCCCACCCACTCGTTTTTCCTAATAATTCCCAGGCTTTCTGGCTGTGTGCTCAGTGTGCCCTCCTCAGTGTTACTGTGCTAAGGTGTAAGTATCTCGCCCTCCCCTGAGGAGCTCTTAGGGCTTGGCTGCAGCAGCTTGTGTAGGCAGATACGGGCTGAGCTGAACTGGCAGGGTAGAGGTGGATTGACAAGCGCTGGCCTCAGTAAAGCTTCCAACTGCTTTCACAGCACATCTTCTGTTTCACTGCTGTGTCGGCATTGTTGGCAGCCTCTGAGGTTCAAAGCTAGATGAGTAATGTGTCTGCAGGCTGTGGTGCTGGGGTGCACAGAACTCTGAGCTAGATTCTCCTGAGAAGTTCTGCAAGGTATTGGGGTAATTACCTGCTCTGAGCTAGCAAAGACTTGCACCAGTAGTGACCCTATCACGCTGCTGCTGTTTCAGTTTGTAGTGAAGAATGTTTCTTCTGTTTCACGAATACGGATGTATAACTCATGAAGCTTGTTTCTCCTGCACCTTGAATTGAACTCTATGCTGTGCAGTGATTCACATCATCAGTGTAAAAAGCGAATTCTTGTTGGGAGCAGCCATATATTGTTCTTCATCCAGCTCCTCAGTGTGGCCCCATATTCCCATTACACCCTTCCTTCATATCCCTGCATCCTTGTCTTTGATCTTCCCTGTTTAAGTCCCTTCTGTGTGCATTTTGTCATTTCTCTTGTGCATTCACCTTCTTAGTCATTCTTTTTGTTGGCAGGGGCACACTTGATTTTGCATAGAGTTACATGGATCTTGAGTATCAGAGGTGGAAGGGGGCAAATCTGGATCAGTTCTGGATGCCCAGCACAAACACGCTGATGTTCATGTCTCTGCACGCTGTAAACCCAGCCCCAAAACAAGTCTGTGGCTCTTGTGGAGAGAACTGCTTTACGTGGCAGCATCCTTTTGTGTTGCATTGGATTCAGCATTGTGTTCAGGGCTGAAATGCCCTGTGTGCCGTGCGTTGGCCCAGCAGGATGAACTCACACAAAGAGAGTGTCAGAGCTGCCCTTTCTGGAAAAGTAAGTGATAGGAATTTATGGCTGTTGCATCTGCAGTAAAGCTGGCACCACAGCCCTACTTCGTCAGCAGTAGGACAGCGGAGGGGGAAAAAAGCGTGGTGTAACCTTTGGTATGTTATTTATTATCAGTTTGCAGCCCTCTGGAAAATGAACTTTAGAAAATTCTGTGCCGATGGTAACGATGAACACTGGGAAAACCCAGGAATCAGCAAATCCATTGTGTTGCACTGACAGAAAGATACTGTTACAACACACTTTAGCTGCCAACTTGCTGCAGTCACTCAATCCATCATGGTGGGCTGTTGGATCACAAGGCAGTGAAACTCAGCCTGGCGTGTTATTTTAGTCTTACATGGACTGTGAGATAAACGGGGCATGAACCAGCCCCCTGGCAGGGGGTCGACCCCTAGCGCCCTCATTAAAGTGCCAATCAAAAAGAGTAATGGAACAGGGAATGGAAAGCTGGCTTCTTCAGCCTGTTACTGCGCACAGTCTGAGCAACTTGCACAAGCCAAGGGAAACATTTCTCTTCTGAAGAGGAGCCAGGCTTCCAGAAATACCTCCTCTCTCCTTTTCTCCTTGTGTGCAATGCTGGGACCCTCCTGTGCGTCCCGCCTGTGGTGGCAGCCTGTGGTGGCAGCCTGTTGCTTACTACAGTGCAAGCAGTGGGAAGAAGTGTGGCCGAATGTAACCCGGAAAGGATATAGATGCTTCTTCTGTGGAATACAGCAGTCAGTGATTGGTTACAGCATGGCTTCTCTTGCACATTGCTTGGATTTCAGCATTTGCATATGAAAGATGGGCAGAAAAGGGTAGGTGCAGAAGTCATGCTGGTGTGCACAGGAAGTGTATGGTCGTGCTTTTGTGGGTAAATTCAACTTTCTGCAGGAACCCACAGCAAACAGTGATACCAGGATTGCTGGGTGAACGCAGCACTGCTATGCTGCTTGTCCTTGGTGGTGAATATTTCAAAGAGCTGTATAACCTCTGCATTGCCAACAGATGCTCATCTTCCCATTCTGAGTGCATTCCAACTGTGGTGATGCTGTGGGAATTTGTGTACCATCTTGAGATGCCTTCTGGGCTTCTGGTGTATAAATCCACATTCTGCAGATCAGCTTTGCTCCGGTGCGTGCTTGGCAGAGAGAACAAAAGGTAACGAGTGAAAAGAAGCAGCACCGTGATGCCTTAATAGGTATTACAAATTTGGTTAAAAGCTTCTGTTGCCTGGAAGATTGCAGGTGGCTGCAGGGTGATGCATGATCACAGGAAGGAGCCATCCAGCCATCCTTTGTTGCTGCCTGTTCTCATGCTGTGCTGCACTAATGGCTCTTCTAGGTGCTGTGAAGCTGCAATCAGACTGTGCTGTGGTAAAGAAGAGAAAGCAGCAGCTGTGTTCTGACATTGGCCTTGTACTTCACTATGGGATCTTAGTCAAGGTACTGAACTGCTTTCAATTTTTCAGTTTAAATGTCTGTAATTGGGCCAAATTCAGGTCTTTCTACTGTGAGTGCTGGGTTGCTTTTGTGAAACGTCTGCAGTTTCTGTTCTGGTTACTCTGCAAACATTTTCAAAGCCCATGTGAGGTTCGGTGGTGCTCATTGGAAGCGGGGGAGAAATCATTGATGTTCTCCCTGGTATTTTGGGTTGCTGTGTCAGGAGCCTGGCCCTACTGAAACATGGTTCTGTTCTCCTGCAAGTGGTGTGGAGTTTGTTGTTTGCTCTGCCCTCATCAAAGTCTGAGGCGAAATTTTTGCTGCACCATTACCCTGTGCCTGGTGGTTTGCATTGCTGACTGCAGATTGCTTCAAGGCTGCTGGCAAACGACAGGCATTAAGAATGGTGAGCCAATCTCGAGGGTCAAAGCAAGTGCTGTTGCTATTTCCAGAGGGTTGATGGATGGTGGATTTGATAGATTTCTCTATTTGTTAAAATTTCTCCACAGCTGCAGTATCCAGGGGGCTTTTCTTGCTATTTTTTGATTTTGCTGGCATTTTTAGTGTGCAGAAACAATTGTTCTGTAGCTGCCATACACAGTCCTTGTCCTTTGGGTGACCCATCCATTTATCCAAAGTGTAAACGCACATGAAAGCTGTTTACTTCTCTCATGGCCTTTTAGTACTTTCGAGTCAGACCAGAATAGGCCGGAGGTGCAAGGTTGTTTCTTATCCACAGAGAGAACTGCCTGTGCTGGGCATGTTGCTTGGGCAGCAGTGTGCCTGTTACAAGAAAGCCTCAGCACTCCCTTATGATAGCAGAGTCTGACTGCACTGAGACAACAGTGTGGCTGCACAGCAGGCCGTGAATAGAACTGATACAATGCAGTAGGCATTTACCTCTTATGTAACTGCAGTTAGCGCCAGGATTATTTTTACTTCTATACTTGAATATGCTGTAGTTCCACTGAGGGAAAGTAGGAAAAAATATAATCTTTTTTTTTTTTCACTATTTGTCAGTGGTTAATGAGTAACTTTCTTTTTTTTTTCCCTTTTTGGCAGGCCTCCTTTCATGAGTAACTGAGCTGTGTTACAGCCGTGCGAACCCAGGGGCAGTGTGAGGACCCAGCCTTGTGTGCACATCTGGTGCTGCTTTACTCACGTTCTCCCACTCAGAAAGTCTGATGATAAAGACCTTAGGAAAGGAGTACATCTCAGTGCTAGAGAAACCAGCCTGGATTCTGTTAATGAACCATTTTCTCTGCGAGGTAACTGCAGTGTTAGCAAGGAGGTAGATTTGAACTGCCCTGTTTCCTTGTTAAGGCTACCAGAGTATTAGGCCAACTACCAGCAGGCTGGAATAGATCTGAACCAATAATATTCATGGGGAATTGGTGATGTTTTCATCCTAGCCCCATATTTGATAAAACAGCAGCAGCATGTGTAATGACAAAGCAGTTACCACCAAGCATGGATTGGAGTGCAAAGCTCTGCTCCCAGTCTGTTTTTTCAGACAAGACGACTCGGTGATCCTTGTTTATAGCAACTATACTTTTAAGAATGGAAGTGTGGGGAGTAAGGCCATCACTTTGCAAGGTAAGTTTAAGAAATAGATATGTTACATAAATATACACACACAAATATGTATATGGTGTCATTCTTTGTAAGAAACAATGTTATTTAAGCAGTATTTGATTAACTGTGGCATTAATAAAAATGCCCTTTCTTTTGTTTTTATCTCTTTGCAACTGCCAGTAATGTGCAGTGTATGCCCAGACCCTGCTTTTCAGAGCCAGGTACCTGAATTAGCTGTGATTAGAAAATACAGGAATGTTCTTTAAGGAAGAGAAGCAGAGCAAGCAAGGTTTTCCCTCAGGGTGTCATCATCTGGTGCTTCATGCCCTGTACGAATCAGGTCAGTGCGCAGTTGTTACAGCGAAGACAAAAGGATTTATGATTATTTTTTTTTTTTTCTAGACACATTTTTATGGAGTTGATCCAAGATCCTGGGGACCAAGTCTTCAGTTGGTGAGAGAATAGCTGAGTGGTGGAAAACACCACCTCTGGGAAATGGGAAAGCATACATTGAACTCCTTGTCGTGATTACTGTGATTACTTTTCTGTTGTGAGATGTGGAACTTCCAGCCACTTACTTTCTCTCCACAAAAACATAAGCACTGCACTTTTTGGTTAAACAGCATTCACAGCTTAAGCTGTTCAGCTATCATCGGGTTGATTTATTGGAAAAGAATTCAAGAGCAGAAAGAAGGATATTGTCCACATCTTGCATGTTGTTTAGCTTATTTCAGGCATATCTCATTGTGTATTTCCTGGTTTATTGCCTGTAATTTATTTAAAGATGGCTAAGTTGGAGTAGGTAACAGAATTGTTTATGGTCCAGTAGTGACTGTTGTGAAAACTGTTTCAGCCTGATGTTACCCTGGTACGTGCAGACCCTCACTCCTACTTGGAATTGAGTGCCTAAGGGTTGTTAAAGTCTTTCTTCTAATCTGTCCCCTGCCTTTCTCTTCCAGAGGCAGCAAGGGAGACAGATACTTGATCTGCTCCCCTCACCTGTGATGTGCTGCAGCCTGCTACCTGGCAAGGAATATCTACAGGAATAAAACTTACAGAATTATGTTATGTTATGGGTAGGGTATGTGATGCTACTTTTTTCTTTTCTTTTTTTTCCCTCCACTTTTAGCATTCATGGTATGCATCTGTTTTCTGTATGTTTATGCTGCTGCAGACCCAGACTGTTTACCAGATTTCTCCTGTTAGCAATACTGCTTCCTCAGGAAAAAAAAAGAAGTCTTAGTGGCCTTGTCACTGCTCCTGTTAGTAACACATCAGTGATTCAGAGTAGCAATTCTCTGTGGTTCGATTGCTTTGTCAGGTCTGAGGCAGTGAAACAGACCTTTGCAACCACAGCTTTTGATACAGATCAGGACAGAGAGGAGCTCTGTAATTCTGTGTGTCCAGAATTGCTTCTAGAAAAAAAAAAATGTGGTGGTCAGCTGTGGTCTTTGACATAGTTGAAACATGAAAAGTTTGGTCACAAGCCTGGTTCATTTTAGTGATGGTGGACCACATAGTTCTGCAGAAATGTTAGAAACATGAGGGTGCCTTTTTCACACATCACATTAGCTGAATCACTAATTAGCTTAATAGCTAATGTGCCATTCTTTGTGGTGTGCTCTTTGGACTGACTTAACTCCCTATAGCTGAGGTGATGTACTGCGAGGCACTGCTGTAGCACAGAAGCTGTGTTATTCTCTCTCATCAGCAATTTTTTCTCCCACAGCTTCTGAAATTTCCAGACAATCTACTTTCATGGCTGCAATTCCTATCTCCTCAAATAAAGCCAGGCTGAATGACATTTAACTGCCTTCATAAAGCTCAGAACTTCATGTGATTTGATAAGTGGAATTATTACATTGTCTTGTCTCAGTTTGTGTATAGTTTTTGTGAAAGCTAAAGGCTCGTACTTTCTCTGCACCTCCTCCTCTACAAACTATTTCTGAGTGTGGCCCTTGGAATCTGAAAGTTGTACTTATTCACTTAGTAATAATGGTAATAGTGCCAATAACAATAGGAAGTCCACAGGAGTTCTGAGATGATCCAAAAATAGTTGGGTTACAGCAACAAGGAACATCATTTGAGCTTAAAAAAAAAACAAAAAGCAATCAACAACAAAAAACAACAAAGTTCTAGTTCAGTTTGTTCTGGAATGTTACAAGAGGCATTGTGCTTCCTGCAAGTGTAACTAACAATATTCCTAGTAATCAGTGCTGTGTCTGTAAGAGAAAACCTGTTTGAGAGAACTCTGTATGAATGAAAAAGAAGTCAGTGGGCTGACTGTAGCTGAGAGGAGCAAAGTGTCAGTGTGTGTATGGTAACATGACTTGAGTAGCCTACGCCAGCTGCAGTCCATGGCCCTCTTGTACATCTGAGACAGTGGGTACATTTCTTGAAGCCTTAAGTAATTGTTATCACGAGCCAAAAAAAAACCCCAACAGGTTTCACCTTCCAAAGGAAAACACAAATCAAATCCATTGTAGCCTGTAGTTCTCTGAGTTCAGGTCACTGAGTTGAGGTGCACTGCCATACTTCTCAGGTGATTGCACTCCCATTCCTTACATAGATGCTGCACAACAAACTATGCAAGCCATTCTGCTGGGAGCTGGCTTTTATTCACCCTACCCCCCTTCTTACCTGCTTTAGCAACCAGGCTTTGCAGCATTGGAAGAAAACAGTTTTGCAGGGGAGAGGAGCAGGAACTAGCAAGAATCCAATAGGACTGACTGGTTAAAGCACTGCAGAGCCAATGCACTTGTTGAATTCTACATTTTACTTAAAAATTATACAGAGAAACATACAAAAGTGGTGCATTAAATCAGTTTCATTTGCATAACGGGCCTTTTGTATTTCTAGTGACAGACCATCCACACATCCACTGATACGACATCTGTCCTCACACAGCAGTCCTCTGCCTTTCACGTTACAGGAGTTAAAAACAGTTTTACTTATAACTATCTTCAGGCTATTCCCTCTTAGATAGACAGACAGACTCATTACTCCCTCTGGAAAAGGTTCCAGGGGACTACCTGGTTCCTGGGAATACAGGTAGTTGATGAGACAAACACTCGTGGGACATGCAGCATTTGAAAAAGCAGGGTTTTTTTTATTATTATTATTTCAAAAAGTTTAATTTAGAAGATGATATCCTTAAGACAAATGATGCAGTGATGTCTCCCCACCCTGACTTCCCAGTGCTAGCAGAGTTCAGCACTGAGCAGCCTACTACAAACACATGGAGGGAAGGATTTCAGTTTCCAAGGCTGCTCGCTTGAACTGTTTTCAAACAACACGAAAGCAGGGGCCTTCAGAGGTACAGACTTTGCTAGGTTTTTTGAGTTCTGGATTCAGAACAGATTCAGCCTTTTGTTATCTAGTATTTTGGAAATGTAATTAAGCCAGTGAGTCATCTCTGCAGTATTTTACAGAACGCAATTATTTTGTTAAAAGCAATGACCTTTCAGTGCAATACGAGGTACAGGTTAGCTGTACTCACAGTAAGAAAAAAAAAACACAACAGAAAACAGTGCACCCTAATCACAGTGTTAAAGCTAAGAACTACAGAACTTCTGTGCTCCAACAGCTGCAGTGAACTTTTTTTGTTAACAAACAATCCTTACGTACATTCCTGAACTGTGAAAAGCAGAGGGAGAGGGAGAGGGAAGGAACAGGTAGCTTCAGGCGCTGCAGTAAGACTCAGTATCGCTCCTTTAATTTCTTTACACTGTAAACAGACCTGTGTTCATACTGACACCCTGGTCTGGACTTTCTTATTTACAAGAAACACTTTTACATATATACATGTTAGCAAAATACAAGGCATTTCCCAGAACTGAATGCATTTGAGCTGCATCTTTGTTAGACAACTAATGCTTTAAAAACAAAACCAAAAAAAGCCCACTCACAATGATTCCATACAGTTAAATACTAAAATCATATTTATTTCCTTCCCATATACTATTTTCTCTAATTACAGAATACCATCAGCTCCAGACTGATTCCTGCAGTTCACTCTGGCAGTAAGGAAGATGTTTCAAGAGTCCAGCTCTAATTGTTCTTGATTTTCACTGAGTCTTAACATAAGCTGTTGTTCATAATAAAGGCTCTTTGCATAGTTTATTTCTTGACATAGCTTCACTGCAAGAACTTCAGATTTCACATTGACCTGCAGAAAGAAGTGTGGATGTTGTTAATGAGGCACCATTATATTTTTATTTCACTGACTGAAGGAATTTGCATGGCTGTGCTTGAAGGAATAGAAGTGCTTCAGTGGAAATCTTCTCAGGGCTGAGGATGAGGGATGGAAGAAATGAGAAAGACAGGTAATAAGAGTTTCGGTGATAGTGGGTGGGAACAGAAACATCTTGCAATATCTGAAGTTATTTCCTTTGCTTCCTCTCCTACCTTTCATCTGGCTGCTCTGTTTGGAATGTAAACTGACTTAGGTCAGGGGTGAGCTTGTAACCTTGTCTGTAAAACAGACCTGGAACAACTACTGTAATGAAGCAAAAACCCACGACATTGAGAGGTGAGATACTGAGTAATTTTTGCATGTGTGACATCAACAATCAATTTCCAATCTTTGGAAGATGCCATGTATGCAGGGAGAGCACTACAGTAAATAGCACAGTGCTTAACTGCATGTATTGTGTAATTAAGATTATTTCTCAGCTGAAGAAATATTTCCTAATGTACCCTGTGCATTCAGGAGTATTTCAGATTTTACCTTCAACTTTTCTCAGGAGAACAAGTTCTACTCAGCGCAACCTTTTTGGCAGCAGTTATTTTCACTGCTGGCAGAATGAAGTTTTCATTATTGAACAGTGCAAGAAAGCAAACACTGATGAGTAGAAGTATTTTGGCATCAGTACGTGCATGGAGGGGGAAAGAAACCCTGCATGGAAGACCCAACAGGCACCAGTCCTTACCATTGGTTTTTGTTGTGATGGGCCTGGCATTGCTACACCACTGCTTGTATTAACAGCTTTCTTGGTCAGCTGCACGTACACTTTCCCATGATCTTTTGAAACAAGGCAGTGGTAGAGGTCATCATACTTCACTTCTAGGAAGATGGCTTCGCGGTCGGTGTAGTCACCACTCTTGAGGAAATAAACAGCTTTAGATGAGATCAGAACACAGTACTTCTCTATGTTCTCCACTGCTATGAAGCTGCGAAAGAGAAAAACCAAAATGAAAAGAAGGAAATGAATCACTTGATAAAAATACTCAGCTGTAACAAAGGTCTCAACCTTGTACATTTTCAATGACCTTTGGAAGTCTTAAAGAAAACCAACAGCATAACACGTACAATCCATTTGCATTTAAAGTGTTCTAGAAACCCAGCTGGTGTGCACCCCTCAGCTCAAAAGACCAGGTTGTAAACCAAGTATGAGCACTAAATGCCTGGCTTCTAGCTTTGATGTTAAAAGGCTGTATAAAAATAGTCTCTAACAAGACTTAGGAAGATCAACTTCCTTGCATTTAAACGCTGAGTGACTGATTTGTGACTTCAGTCCTTACTGATAGGTGAAAAAGTTTGCAGGTAATGATAAAAGCCTTTTTTTTTAACACATAAACCTACTGTGCCTCCTTCTGCCACACACCTCCCCCGCCTTTAAAAACAAAAAACAAGTTTAACCTGCTGCCTGGATCAGTAGCTAGAAAAGAGAAATTAGCTGTTTAACTCTGGGGTGAAAGGTTAAGCAGCAAGCAGGTTTCCCCAGAGAGATTAGTCCAAGTGATGAATAGGGGAGGTAGAAAAGAGTGAATTAAGAAGATGGAGAATTACGATGGCTGAAAAGGTTGATGTGTAAAAGTTAGTAGGAAGGCATGCAAAAGTGAAATAGATAATGCACACACAACCACTCCTCATTTGTGATTTACTACTGAAATGAACTCCATTTGTGATTTTCCTTTTTCAAAGAAAAAAAAAGCTGAAATTTTCAGAAAATTATATTTGGAGACACAAGAAAGAAAGAAAGAATGCTGAGTTTTGTATGAAAGTACAAACTAAACTGTCAAACCAGGATTCTCCTGCTTTCAGGTGGGTTCGAATTCACTATTTTTTGAGCTGCTGTTTGTGCATATCTGGCTGTTGTTGCCCTGATATGTTCAGCAGAATTCTCCACTGTGTTTGAAAACACAGTGAAGATTTTCAGTCCTAAGAGCCTTTGTCTGAAAAGTTCACCATCTCCACTGATCAGTTCCAAACCTACTGTCTGCTTTTCTACTTAGGTAACACTTTGTACAAATACTGTGAGCTGCATCCCATAACCTTAGGCTACCAGTGGAATGCCAGCAACCAAAAATATTCTAAGCTCAGATGATGGTTTGTTTTGCAATGTAAAGGAAAATTCTAGCAATTTATTTCTATTAATACTCGTCTGCAAGATGCTGCTCAGTGCTGAACTTGTCTTTTCTCTGCCCTATGCCTCCCAGTCATATCAGCTAACACTTTGGTTTCCATAAAGGTGAAAAAGGCATACGTGCTCATTCAAGTTGTTCAGTTTTCATTTTAAGTGGCGAGAAGAGGCATTCTTAACCTGCTGGGCAGCCTGCAGAACAGTCTTGTTTCTGACAACAGGCAAATAAAAGTCCAGTGTTTCACAGAGATCCACGTCTGACTTGGGCAATACTTCCACTGGAAGAGCAACCTGAGTGAAGCTGCTGCACACTGCTTTTGTTTCTTTTCCAGCAGGGAGAGAAAATTAAAAAAAGGTGATCATCGGAAATCTCAAATATATTCTACTACCATTCTTTGCAACTGTCAAGGTAGAGCTGAGAGACTTCAGAAGATATTGTGCACCCACAAAAGCAGAACAGCTGGTTTTTTCCCCACATATATGGGATTCCAGCCTTCTGTATGGAGACAGCCACAGAGAGAACCCGACCAGCAAAAGCTGCTGTGAAGTTCAGTGGGAACAACTGGGAAACCAGACTGCAGGGCTGTATTTTTCTCCCCAGCAGAAGATTGTATCTCTGATTTTTCATGGCGTCATGCGTGCACTCTGAGGACTGCAAACGGGACGCACTTTATGGCGAAGCACTGAAACATCAGCTTGTTTGTAGTTCAAGCTCTACATTTTGTTCTAACTTTGAGTCATGCATCATTACCCATTTTCTCTTGCCAACTGTTATTTTCTTCTCCATGCCTGGTTCTCAAAATGGGTATTTAACCTTTTAAGATACGACTACAAGATAGAATGTCATTGATTTATATGTTTTAAAAAACCCAACAAACTTTCGTCAACACTATTTTAAAAATTTCAAATTAATAAAATGGACGATTAAATGAAACATGATCCAGTAGAACAAAGCAGAAGCAACCAGACCTCTGGAGAATTTGTGGGTTTTTAACAACATCAGGAAGTAATTACACAATATTTTCCAGAAGTGAAACAGTGAGTCTAACTGGAAAAAAATGTGGAAACATTTAGTTAGAACAGTAGAGCAAGGTATTAAACCCCCTTTTATGGATTTAACTCTGAAGAAAAATATGCAAATAATCAGGTCTCTAAATATGTTTCTGATTATGACACTAGGATAAAAGTCAGAGGCATAATTTTGTACTTCTTTTCTGTTTTCTTGTTGTGATGTTCCTAGTGGTGAAAGTCACAGTGAATGGACAGCGTGACTGAAATGACAACAGCCCACAGTTCTGCTTATAGGGTGCACTTGTCAAAAGCTGACACTGTTTGGTTTTCTAATCACAAATTGTTCTCTTCCAATTCTCCCCACTTAATGAGCCAGGCCAGATACGACCTTTCACTAAGATGCAAACAGGATAATATGATTGTAAGATTACAGGCCACAACCAAGTGGCAACTACAAACTTCCTCCTAGGCACACAGCTTTCAGTGCCTCATTATTGATGCTGGTAGAGTTGAGACAGTGCAGCAAATGGGAAAACTCCCCTGAGCGCTTTACCACGAGGTGCCATTTTTTTCTTTAGGCACTGAAGCCAATTCTAACTAACGGCTCTGCATTGGAAATGCTCTGATGTGAAGTAGATACTCAGAGCAAATACTCTGATAGTGCAAAACACAGTGTCTCATGCTCTCTACTGAAAACAGCTGTGCAGGTAGCTGAGAGAGAAATTTGGTTAAGTAAGGAATGATGCCATGAGCACCTAACCCAGCAACCTGACAAACGAACAGATAACTTTCTTGCATTTATGCAGTATGGATTTTTTTGTACTGCCTAACCTGACCAAAAAACCTGCTGTTTTCGCTTGCTTTCATGCACCCATATCCAGGGCATTCAAACATAAGATGCATCATCAGTTCTGCGTGCATTACCCATTCCAATTACTCCACACTGACTTTTCTGGGAAGAAAAACCACCAGTGTTTATAGTGCAGGTTTTGTTCATTGACTGCTAACAGCCTTAGCTTAGGAGCAACACGTACCACAGGCATCTGACTAGCTTCTCTCACATCTATAGCAGCACAACCTCAGCGTGCACCCAACAGTGTGATTCACATACTGCTGCCATGGAGCCTCCAGCTGCTCTGCTAGGCCTTGGGCTGTGAGAAACAGCAGGCAACAGAGACAGACAAAGGTGCAGATAGCAGTTCTGTCTGCATGAAGAATGTGCCTCTGCGCAAGGAATACAGGTTCCAGCAGCATGTGTTTATGCACAGCAGGGGTTAGCCTGCATTGGACATACATGTTAAATGCTATTTACTTAGAAGCTGAAATTTCATCTTTTGTGATGATAGAAGGACATTGGAATCATTAAAAGGCATGAGAGAGGAGAAGCCATAGCTGCAGCTCTTTTGGAAACAGCATGCCGTGTGAGATCAACAGTGAGCAACAAGTGAAGCCCAGGACCCTGTGGCACCTGCAATGACACTGCTGTAGAGTCAGTGGAAGGGCTGCTGTGGAAGCCACCGGGAGCTTGGGGCGTGCTGTGAGTCAGTACCAAGAGAAAACACCTGAAACAGCCTTGTGTGTGCATGGGAAGTAATGTTCATCTCCTTCCCAAAGACACAAAGCTACAATGGTAGCAAATGCAACTACTTAAATAACTGCGTAAATCAGGACTTACAACTCATCCTGGATGTTGTCAGTCAGTTTGAACAGCTGTTCTTGTCCTTCTGCTTCACTTTCTGAGTAGCGAGGCAAGAGCCCTTGGGGTCCTCTGCAGCAGCGAGGCTTTCTTACTCTCTCTGCTTGTGTCCTGCATGCAGAATAGATGCAGAAAAATGACTTTGTGCAACAGCAGGGCTTTTAATTCCACTTAAGCCTATCAGCACACAGAGTTGTCTTTGTTTTGAAATAGGAGGTGCGACTGAGCCTCTGGAGAATACAGGGTCTTCACAAATACGGCGTATGGATCTGAGACACAGCATCTATTCACGAGGCTTTACATTTCAAATCTCAGGTACACACAAGGGGCAGCGTCCTGAATTAATATGAAGAAACAGGCTGAGTGTACCATCCACAAGGTTTTTGATCTGTTGTTATTAGTAGAGTTCAGTTGATTTGACCATTTCTTCTCACTTCTCTACAGAAAATAGGCGCACACGGACCGAGGTGGAGCTGCCACTAACAGACAGTTGCCAGTAGTTTGAAAACAGAAGGGTTACAGAAATAGGGGCATGCAGTGAAGTTAAAACAAGAGAAAAAAACAGAACCTTTTCAGCAAGGTTTAGCATACTTTACCTTTTCCTGAGCATTTATTAAAAATGACAATAATAAAAAGACATATATGGCCTGAGATACCAGAGGTTGATACAGGCCATAGTGCTAAAGAAACACAGGGTAGGTTCCTCCCTTAGCAGTATTTTGTTAAAAAATAATATTCTGAATTCCTTCATGCTTTTGGAACGCCCTACCCATGAAGATTTGTGTTACAGGCAGCACAGCCCTGTTTTATTCCCTGTCCCTTCCCAATAGCATTGCTCTGGGATTGCTGCATGGCTTTTGTACCTCCCAGGCTGCTGCTGTTGGTGTTTCAAGCCAAATGCACCATTTTCACTCTACTTCCCATCTTGATACTTTGTAAAGACTCCGTACAGTGAACTGCTTCTATGCTTTCTGATCAAAAGATAGCAGAAGAAAATCCCATGTAACGATGGCTTTTCTTCCTAAGCTGCTTGGCAATAGCACACAAGAGCACTTGCCTTCTAAGCTTTGCCTTCTGCAGATGTTTTCTCTGGAGCCCTGTTTCTTTGTTACCTTTCACCTTCAGCAATCCTGTCCCAGGCTTAAAACACATGCACGCTTCTACAATGTGTTTTCCTTCCAGTCTTTGACACCCTTGCCTTTTAATCGTGGCAGGCAACTTTTTTTGCCCTTCTTGGCTGCAGTAAATACTGTTGGAAGAGAATCTTTTACATATCTTTGCTGCCCTCCTGTTGGGTGACTGACCTCTCTCCCCGTGTTTTGACTATCGTTGCTCTGTTTGATATCAGCCATGTATTTTGCAAACAAGGTAGAGAAGTCAAAGGTAGCGGCTCCCACCACAGCAGACTAAAACATCAGCCAGCTTATGGTTCTAATGCACTGTGACTACCTGCTAAGTTCCAATTTCGTTAATGAGATTATTACATCCCCGACCTGCACAGCACTTTCCAGTGGCTCAGGAGCACTGATCCTCCTGAGGAATTCAGGGAGGACAAAAAGATGCAGACTTCAGTGACTGCTCTTCAGCTGAACTACGGCTGTGCTAAGATGGGAAGAATGAAATGAAAAGTGGGAATTCTCCAAATTAAGGAACACAAAACAAAGCAGAGGTTTATGGAACCATAACAAATGTGATTGTTAATAATACCAGTCAAATGTTATCCAATTTTAGTTGTACCTCTGCACCCAGATGTTCTTGCTGCTTTACTGCTTGGGATTTGGTAAGACATTTGTTAATTACAGAGAAATAACAGTATGAAAATTCAGTTTGCTGCGGAGGTTCTTTGTTTCCCTCATTTGCAAAACTGTAATGTCTTAAAACTGTATTCTTCCCTTAGTAGCATTTATCTGAACCAAAGTAACCTAAGCACGAGGTAAACACGACTGCCACAAGCTATCCCAGTTACAATGATTCCGCTGAGTAACAGCTGTACACAGTTGTTAGAACCACAGCATTAATTACTGCAACTTTAGAGCAGTTCACCTCTCCTGCCCCTTCCATTTTCCTGCTAGAACCAGGATTTATCTATAGCAGGCACAGCTGCATAGCAGTATCATTCTATTTTGGAATCCACATAGGAAGTGAACATATTGACCACCTTCTCTACCATATTCTTACAACCAGCAAGCAAAATGTGTATTTCTGTTTATGAAATGCAAAACCAAATAAGCTAAAAAGTTTGAGCCACTGTAATATTCACATATTGCTACTTGTACTGCTTCCTCACTTTCCAAAGCAGCACAATAGCAGTGCTTTTCTTACCCAAGAAGCCCTGGGGCTGTTCAACCCCTCCAGAGCGCTTGTACTTGCTGTTAACTCAGTGTGAAGGGTACATCTGTGAAGCAGCGTGCTCTTTTTAACACACTGTGGGCCAATCATCAATGTTTCACTCTGACACTTTTCCTATTATGAGCAACAACGCTGCGTAACGGTATCTGTATTAACCAACTTTCAGATAAACATTCAACCATGCTATTTTTTTCCATGCTATTATTTCCAGTGATGAGGCACTGGAACAGGCTGCCCAAGGAGGCTGTGGATGCCCCATCCCTGCAGGCATTCAAGGCCAGGCTGGATGTGGCTCTGGGCAGCCTGGGCTGCTGGTTGGTGACCTGCACACAGCAGGGGGTTGGAACCAGATGAGCACTGTGCTCCTTTGCAACTCAGGCCATTCTATGATTCTATGATTCTAAGTATTGAAAGTACAGCACTTACTGCCTCCATGCCAAAAGTTCATCCTGGTGGTACGAAGGCGGCTGCTTTTCAATGAAGTTTCACTAGAGCTAGCCTAAATTGCATTGATTGAGTCCATCAGCCCCTTGGCAAACTGCTCTGTTTGGTCTGGACAGCCAACAACATTCCACACAACCCTTTCTTTTTTATTTTTTCTTTTTTATTTAATTTTAATCTAAAAATTTGTTCAACCATCTCAAGTTACGTTCTGTAAATAATAAGCAATACTGATGAAATGCAAAAAGTGAAGACTTGTAAAGCAGAATGAACGGTGGTGTGCCCACATCTGTGTTACATTAAACATGCACTCAACAGATTTGCTGATTCTTTTTTAATAAGCACACAAAAGGCAATACAAGACAGAAATGCCCTCATGTCTACTAGTCACAGCAGGGAGGA